ACCCATTCCATGAAGCTCTCTGCGCACTGTTCTTGAGCTAATCTGAAGGCCACATGAAGTTTGGAGGTCTGTAGTGATTGACTCTGCAGAAAGTTGGCGACCTCTTCGCACTATGCGCGTCAGCATCCGCTGACCCCGCTCCGTCAGTTTACGTGGCCTACCACTTCGTGGCTGAGTTGCTGTCGTTCCCAAACACTTCCATTTTCTTATAATACAGCTGACAGTTGACTGTGGAATATTTAGGAGCGAGGAAATTTCACGACTGGATTTGTTGCACAGGTGGCATCCTATCACAGTTCCACGCTGGAATTCACTGAGCTCCTGAGAGCGACCCATTCTTTCACAAATGTTTGTAAAAACAGTCTGCATGCCTAGGTGCTTGAATTTATACACCTGTGGCCATGGAAGTGATTGGAACACCTGATTCCAATAATTTGGATGGGTGAGCAAATACTTTTGGCAATATAGTGTATATTCACCACCTATATCTATCTCGTCCTGTGACCCTGGAGAACACAGTTTCTTGTGTTTACTTGAGATAAAGATTTCCTCGCAGCGCAGCAGATGTGAGAAGAAGGAGCGGCCTTGTCACCTGCAGAGAGAGGTGAGAAAGGCATCTAACAAAACAAACCTATTCAGCTGTTCTCACCAACACGACACACCTTACTCCTGTGGAAAAAACAGCCCACCTGAGCGAGGAGAGTATGAGTGCTGTCATGACCATATGGTGAAGGTCCTTATAAGGAGCAGAAGATGGCTGGGAGCCCATCCTCCTGTCTACTGAGGCATCAGCTGTGCCGACTCTTGGCAGGGGAACCAAGGTGTATAAATTCTCCGGAGGGAAAGGCAGGCCAGACGTGTTTTCTTCGGCACGTATGTTATGCAATGATGTGATCAAACCAAAAGTGCTGATGACTGAGTGTGTTTTTTTCTTCTTTTTTTCTTCCAAATGTGATGGCTGTCAGCGCTCTCAACGCACCCGCTCCTGGTTTCTCAGGATAAGCTCAGGAACGGGGGAGATATTCCTCTCAGGTAGCAGAGATTCAGAGCAGCTTTAGCAGATAAACTGTGAAATGAGGGAGAGCATGGACTACAGGGCTGTCTGGATTATCCCGCCAGGAAGGGTGCATCCCTCCACAAACTCACGGCTGAAACCTGTGGCACCTCACCAAACATTTCCTCTGTGAAACCTCAGAGTGCAATCGCTGGTGATTATCATTACGTCCGGCATCCTCAAAGGCTTGTCAGGCCGTGGTGTGAAAACATAAAAAGACAAGCAATTTGGCAATCAAACCGCATGATCGAGCCAAGAGGGCTGTAATTGACAAATCAAAGGAAGGCTAAAATGCTGCATTTAAACTTATGCAAGAGAGAGAATTGGCTTCCGAGCCTATCAACTTACATTCCCTCCACATTAACCACGGCAATCTGGCCGACTAATTTAAACTGATACATCAAAGGCCTGCCATGTTGGGTGTATTCCAGACAAATTTCAAGGTCTTACAAATTTATCATTTGAGGGAAACTGCCAACAAGTACTCAGATTAATTTCAATATTTCTTCCCATCTGAACGTAATCACACGACACAATCATTTGATTGGGGTTGGGTATATTTTTGGGCTGTAGCGAACTGCACACAAAAAAGGAAAAACAGAGACAAAACAAATGTTTCTGAACCCAATAGCTTCATATCTGCCACTTCAGAGGAGGACGCAGATATGAAGAACAATCAGCTGGTCGTTCTTCTAATGAGGAGGGTCAGAGCAGAATGTACGCTCTTCTAAAACAATGTTCAGATTTTAGTTTCACAGAACGATTATGTCAAAATTATATAGTTTTTTTGTAGTCATGAGACTACAAAAACTATGGCGGATATTTCTCCATTTGTTTGGCTTTATTTGAAAAAAAAAAAAAAAGACAGAATGTAAGATAAGTACCCTGGTACTGGTCAATCATGACCAGCAACCAGCCATTCATTATGAAGACCATAGATTTTAACCAACAGTCATTGCATTGTGGATGAGCTTTTCTCTGCGCAGACATGCATCTTTCACCTATGCTTGGTCCATGCTTGTTTTGGTCAGAGTACCAAAAACAGGGGGGCAATTTAACCGGATAAGAGAGGGAGGGGGAGACAGCATTCTGAGCTCAGACAGAAGCAGAGGGGAATCAGTCTGAGAACACTAGGAGAGAGCGAGCACCATAAGTATATGGCAGCTTTCTAGGAGAGCGGAGGAGCACAGTGGAAGATTGGAGAGGCCTCCCAGGGAAATGGCACCATGCTGGGGAAAGGCTATAGCTCACCGATGCTAGCTAGGCTAACTACAGAGGATTAAAGGAGCACAGTAGAAGATCTAATAAATTCGCCAGTAAAACAGTACACTGAAGGTGGGGGAGATCCTACTGCTGCCTGGGAGAAGGACAGCAGTACTGAAAAATGTATGGAATTGATGCTGTGATCAGTGATCAGCAATCAGCTCCCAAAATACAGACCACTGCATGTCTAAAGATAAGGGATGGACGGACATATGTACAGATGGATATATGGACACACAAACGGATGAGCAAGCTTGTGACAGCAGTGGGGGGAAAAAAACTCGCTTTTAATATGAAGAAACTTCAGTGAAACCATCAGCCATGACAGACTGGGCAGCCCAGAAATTCAAGCCACCTGGGACAATTTATTTTTATTTTGATTAACCTAACAGCTTTTAGAGAACATTACATATATAGAAGAAAATGAACTCCCTTCTTTCCCAACTATGAAAAAAAAATATATAAATCAAGCTCTATATTGATCTACACAGAAAGTCAAAGTATCCATTTGACCCCCATCAGACAAAATGTTCCAGAGACTCAGAGATCAACAGAAAGTAGGCCTTGAACAGATAATAACCAAAGCTTTATATGCTTATTTTTCCAAACTGAAAGCATAGATTATACATTCACACTTCAGCTTATGTGATGAGACTGCGCTCTGGCTCAAGTCTCCCTTATCCAACTGAACCCTGATAGGTGGTGGGTAAGGTTTTAGCTGCTCATAATGACCATTTATTGGAGTATAATCCACAACTGGATCTAAATCCTCAGAGATTACAATAAGGCTACAGTTAACATGCAAACTGAGAGCTAAAAATCACCCTGGCATATTTTCTGGCAATGGGATAAAAAAGGAACTAAATTTCCAACTGGCTGGCGGATCAGTGAAAGTACTCAAAATTGTGACCACTGTCTGAAAAAGTATAGAGGAAAATGCTTGTAGAGGCTGAGCTAGAGGCTCTTCTGTTGTCCCTAAATTTTATTGCATAACCTGTTTTTTTTTTTTTTTTTTGCTGACAAAAATACAGGCAGACCTAACACTGCGCATCTGGCAACTCTCACTATTTCCTCATTCATTTTCTCCCTCTGCAAGTTGACAGAAATTACATCATGTTTAACATTTCCCATCATGAAAGGAGGAAAGTAGACGTGAAGAACTGAAAATATATTGGAAATCATCACCAACAATGCAATGTGGGAAATAACTATGATCAGCATATGGATGATGTAAGGCTTTTCAAGCTACAACCCAAGATAAAAAAGATGCACAAAGAAGGAGCGTGTCAAATACTCCTTATGTGATGGAGTCAGCATGCCGACGAAACTGCACGGTGGGTAGATGACGGTGCTGAGAGCGTAACCTGTGTTCAAGGCAGAGCAAAGGGAGAGGTGGCTGAACAGAGGCAAGAGGGAGGAGTGATCCTGTTCCCCTCAGACACTGGAGGCAACAAGGGGGAGATTAGAAATCGTGCCATGTCAGGATTGGGAGCATGCTGGGCAGCACTGGGGCAGGAGAACATGGGACGTCAGGGTGGGAGGGGCCGCAGGGCACCATAATTGTGATATACATACACACACACGCGCCGTCGCAATGGGTGGCTGATGGGTAAATAGGCAGGGAAGGGCGGTGGGAGGCAGGAGGGTAGCCGGGTTCTGCTGTTGAATACTGAACAGAGGATCAGGGAAGCCACCGCATGTCAGTCAGGACCTAAAAATACTGCCTAATGTAACAAACGGTATCTAGATGCAAAGAGGAAGCAGAGTCTAAGAAATATTTAAACACCACCTCCATTCAGTGAACTTAGGAGAGAGTTTAAAAGGTGTTCTTAGTGTCAAAACAGTTTTCCATATTGTAACAATATTGAATTAAGTTCAAATTAATAATACCCCCTTAATAAAACCAACTGCTACCAACCACCCTTAAAAGACAGCACATTAGTGAGCGGAGTTGAAAACACAAACTATAAGATACACACATAAATATAAGAATAAAACTAGTAAACAAATTCTAGTGCAAAAGTAAAGTCATAAGATCTATGATTTAAACTAAACATGTGGAAAAGCTCTGGTTTGATGAGGTCAACGCTTCACTTTCAGCCTGTGTCCAAAAGCCGGTTAGAAAGGCACCAAACACATAACACCATCCGCAACATGAAACATGGTGGTGGCAGAATCGTGCTGTGGAGATCTCTATTGTTTTTTTACAACACGGAAGAACAGAAAAAGAAGAAAAACGTGAACATATGCAGGGCAGTCCTGGAGGAAAACCTGTTAGGGCTCTAAAAGACTGGAAACTGGGACCGAGGTTGACCTTCCATCAGGACCACAGCCCTGTGATCCAGGTCTGGATCAAAGTATTTAAATGGAATATAAAGGTCACCTTCCAGACCTAAAGCACATAAATAAATGAAGTTTTATGTTTGTAACATAGCAGAATATCAAAAAGTAACCGGGGAATTAATACATTTTAAAGGTGTTGTATGAGGACGTTTTTTAAGTTCCTTAAGTAAAACTTTTCATCAAAGAAAACCGTAAAATCTACAAACACATCAATGACTCTTTTAGAGTTAAATTAACATATTAACTGTGAATTCTATATTTAAAACTAAAATCAAAGTAAAAAATAATGACTAACCTTGGGGGCATGAGTGTGTCCCAGATAAAGCGACGACTTTCTTACCTGCAGACGGTTAAAGTGAAGAAGCCACAAGCTGCAGCTCCCAGAAGGCTGCACATAAGGTTGACACTGTGTGCTGGAGATGACGGCAGCAGATACATAGACAAGCGGGCCAAGAGGGTGAAGACTGGATATCCTGGAGGATGAGCAACCTAAGAACAAAATCCCTGAGTTAGACTCCCGACCAGCGCAGGTAGAGCTAAATAAGTTCCCACTTGTATTAACAGCTTTAAACTGTATGTTTTACTTAGCTTAGCTAAACCTGGACACCTTCTTTCCCATAATAAAGCTTTTGCTCATCCTTAAATGAGACAGGAATGTGCTGCCAACAGTTGTCTTTTTAGCAGAATTATCCACCTGAGCTGTGGTTCTCTGCAGCTCCTTCCGAGCCACTATAGTCTTCTAATGTTTCGGAGAGCATGTATTGGTAAATTTAGGGGGAGTTTGTTGAATTTGGGTTTTCTTTGGGGTAAAGAATCTTAACAGAAATGCAAACACAGGTTTTAGATTCTAATTTGGAAAAAAAATAAAAACCATTTATTAATTTTCTTTCCATGTTTCATTGGTTTGTCCCAGTTTGGTTTAATCCATCACATCTATTTTGGTTTCAACATGACAAAAAGGTTGATTAGTTAAAAGGATATCTTTTAGAAGGCACCGGCATTCTGGTAAAGTAAACAAACACCACAGAAAGAAGGGGAAAAAAAGTCATACAGCTTGATATGACTGCTGCTGACTTTGCTGTGATACTAGAGCCTACATTTCCTCCTGCTTCCTCTGGCCTCTTCCCAAGGACAACACGGTTCCCCGGGGCCCGCGATGAAGCACGTGGTGCTCAGCAGCCTCAGCCCCCGAGCCACCTAAGAGCCGCAGTTGCTCTCGCCTGGGGGATCTCAGCAATCACAGCAATTAGCCGCTAAGTCTCCTCCACCCAGATAAAGGCTCAGTCATTAAACACAGACTCATTCCCTGGCACTGATAACATGAGCCGTGCAGGCAGGGAGAAGGGACGGCTCCTCATAAATGAGGCGCAGCTGAAAGGTGAAAAAGTGACGGCTTCCACAGTCACCTCAAACACAAGAAAGTCTCTGTGGTTAATTTCAGCAATGAAAAAAAATAATCCTGAGTAAATAAAACACATCATATAGTTGAAGATTTATCTAAAGGAAAATAAAGAGATTATTTGAAGGATGAAGCGACAGATGCAGGCATTCAGACGTTCAGCCAAAGGCCTCATGAAGCAAACGGCAGCAGAACTCTACAGCTCTGGGGAGCTGAAGTGGGGGGGTGGCAGCTCAGGGCATAGGGATGACCAGCGAGGCCCTGGGGAGGCCCGAACGGCAGACAGGCAGGCCACACGGACTGCAGCACTAACCGCAGGATTACTGGCATAGTGACACCGACACAGCCTCCCTAAAAGGATCACAGCAGCGTAATAAACTTTATTAAATAATAAAACTTATTATAACTGTTAACCCGATTTAGTTCATTCTTTGCGGCTTACACACACACACACAAAAAAGAGGGGTGGATATAATAAGCCTTATACCGTACATAAGGCAAAGCCTACAAAAGCCATCGCCTTACCATTGACTTTAATTGGATTTGAAAAACGGGTTGCAAATTATAGCATTCTCTACTTGCAACTTAGTAAAATAAGTGTATAGAAAAGCAGGGGAAAAACCTGTGGACTGAAAGTAAATTAATCTGCTTTCTGCCCATGCTTAATTAAACTTCCCTAATGCTTATAAGAGTTAATGAGTGAATTGATTAAACAATACGGCTAATACTTACCCCCAGCTCACAAGCAGTGGTGATCAGCTCTCCTGTGGAAGGGAGAAGGGAAGGAAATTAATGTAAACCCAATAATTATTATTAAGAGACAAGTCTGCTCCCAAAGTTTTCCCAAATCAAATACTTGCACTGGGGTTTTGCATTAATTTGCCAGGATCAAAACCTGCAAATCTTCCCAGTGTGACATTTCCTAAGCGGCACGCTCATTCTCTTCATCTTCCTCGTCTCCCTCGATGCCGCCCTCCCTCCCTCTGCACACACACATCGATATAAACAAGCGCACAAACCATGAGGCTCCCTCTCCAATGCCCTGTCATACAAAGACACACATATTCTGATCTGAGAATAATGCTTCCACTCCCATCTTCCCCGTGCATCACGGTCCCTTCCCTTCTTCCTTTATTTCACGTTCAATGTGCCTCTCTGCAGCTCCCACACTCCCAGTGTCTTAGTGTCTCCTTCAGTCCGTTGGGCACAAACAGAAAAGGCTACGTCGGTGACAGTCACAGAATGAGGTAAGCTTTAAAGAAAAAAAAAAAAAACAGAGCAGGCTGCACCGTTTTCTGACAAGCTCTGTGTGAGGCGCAGCACAAAGTGAAAAGAAAACCCCTAAAAGCTATTTGAGGCAGCTTTAATGTATCTGGGCACAAACCCATTTGTGCCAGAATACACCCAGAGCGTTTCAAATTATACTGATTTCTCACTCAATGTTTGCATCTCCCACTCATGGAAATTGAAATTTGGTTCAGATTAAATGACATTGATAAATGCTGGGAGATCAGGAAGGCTCCCTCTACTGGAGCTCCAGGGGTACTCAACTCCTCGCCACATTTATCCACTGAGAACTTTATTGAGTTTGCTACATCGGCGCTGACAGAATAACGAAAAAAAGCAAAAGAATTTAAATTCTCACATTTTATTTAAATCTACTATATAATTATGCAGTGACACCTTTCAAACGGCTTAAATCGAGTCCTGTAAAGCTACAAACTTCAATGTTTTTTACTGGGATTTTATGTGAAAGACATTCAGTCATAAATAACACTATATCAGGAGACATATCTGTATATAAAATATCTGAAAATGTAAAACAGGTTTTTAGTCGTAAATATTAAATTTCCCCATGACTAATACCAGTCAACGCATTTTCCGTTCAAATTCTAATCTGGTCAAAGTTCCATTTCATACTTGAAGAAAAAAAGATGACATGCAAAAGCAAAAATTCAAAGGTATGAGATTTTGAAGTTGATCTGTAAGGAAGCTTTTCTTCAGCAGGAACCATTGAGAATTAAAGGAAAGACTGATGGATACAGATAGTGTGAAATCGAAGAGATGGCCTAGTCAAAGGCCTGGTCGGAAATAAAACATGCAAACTGATGCAGACAATGGGGCAAATTCATCGCCATATTTTGTGATGATGGGATAAACTACATAAAAGAGATGATTGAGTATTTATTGCTAAAACTATATCTTTACAGTCAGAACATTCTATAGTAAATTCTGTCATAAAATGAAAAATTACCATCAACAAAGAGGGCTTCCATATAGCAGCTATGCTGAGCAGTGTCGCTGTGTGTTGTGTTGTGCAGAAACTTTGAATCCTTAATGATGTTTATTCAGTTCAGCTTTATGATATTATGAAGAAAAAATTCAGTCTCTAAAAATGTCTAAAGCTGGTACCGAACCTGTAATTACAATGTAAGGACATTACACAAATTATTGACTTTAGATAAAAATGAGTACAGCACTTATTCAGACTTTTCTTTTTTTTTTTAACCACACATAACTTTCCACCAGCTCTGTAATGTTATAAAAACCACAATAAACTCAGTGAAGTTTGTGTTTGTAACCTGATAAAGTGTGAAGTTCAAGGGGTAGGAATACTTTTGCAAGGCAGTGTGAAAATGGGTCATTATTTCAAATGCAAGCAGCTGTAGGTGTGTTTACATATCAAAAATAAACATGTGCAGAACCAGAACGCGGTCCGCAGCAACCCTGCATTTTAGAGCAGAATGGCTGAATTTCAGATGGAACTGGCTGCTTCACATATTTTGCAACCTTGTCGATACAGCAAATTATGATGCCTAAAATTCTGCCACACGAGAAGCCCGAACACTTATCAGTCTAATGGACCATGAAGTCAGAACTCCTCCACCTGCACGGCTTAAATGTTTTTATGGCTCCGTTTTACCTGGCATCAGCCGCCAGCTACCAGCCATCATTCCACATCACACTTTCTCATCCTTCATCAGTTTCTCAATTTCACTCATTTTCCCGCAGTAGAGGCATACTTTTACCCCATTCAGCACAGAAACTAGCACTAAGCCAAAACATTCATCTCGGTGCCACAGAGATGTGGTTCTGCAGCCCCAGTACTAAAAAGGGAAAATATTGACTCTACAGGGATGCAGCCCGGGTGCCAAAACTCTTTGTGATTGTGGAGCATGGGCACCAACATCAGTCTTCCCATAATCCCCATCATTTCCACACTTCACATTCCTAGACAACAGTGTACCCACAGGGCTGCGCTCAAGCCTCTCCAGGGCACATCACACCTAAAGAGATTAGGACACCGAGACGGAGACCTGGAGAATTCAGAGGGGTGTTCAGCTGGCACTATCAGAGCGGGCATCCTGCACCGTCCCTAAACACTGTGGAGAAGGGGCTGGCCATTTTTTCAAAGACCCTGCTAGACAGCAGCACAACCAGCAGGGCTACTCAGCGCTCCTCTCCTTAGCTCTTTTCTATCCGGCCCAGCTTCTCTTATCCTTTCATTCTTAGGAATAGCTTTCCCTTCTGCAGCTCGACCGTCTGAGCAGTGCACACCCAACAAGTTGAGCCTCCATGCCTTTAAATACACTTTTCTAAGTTTGCAACCTTTTCTACCACTCTTATACAAATTAATTACATGACCCCCATAGCCAAGGTAATTAAAAAACACATCACCTTTAAATTTTCATAAGGTTATGGTAAAAAGTACCTGGTCTTTACCAAGTTCAAATTTCTTTTAAATCAGAACAGCTGATTTAAAACTACAGGTGCTGGTCATAAAATTAGAATATCATGAAAAAGTAGATTGATTTCAGTAATTCCATTTAAAAAGTGAAACTTGTATATTATATTCATACATTACATACAAACTCATATATTTCAGATGTTTATTTTGTTTAATTTTGATGATTACAAATGACAACAAATGAAAATCTCAAATTCATCATATCAGAAAATTAGAATATTGTGAAAAGGTTCAAAATTGATGGCCCCTGGTGCCACACTCTAATCAGCTAATTAACTCAAACCACCTGCAAAAGCCTTTAAATGGTCTTTCAGTCTAGTTCTATAGGCTACACAATCATGGGGAAGACTGCTGACTTGACAGTTGTCCAAAAGACGACCATCGACACCTTGCACAAGGAGGGCAAGACACAAAAGGTCATCGCTAAAGAGGCTGGCTGTTCACAGAGCTCAGTGTCCAAGCACATTAATAGAGAGGCGAAGGGAAGGAAAAGATGTGGTCGAAAAAAGTGTACAAGCAAGAGAGATAACCGCACCCTGGAGAGGATTGTGAAACAAAACCCATTCAAAAATGTGGGGGAGATTCACAAAGAGTGGACTGCAGCTGGAGTGAGTGCTTCAAGAACCACCACACACAGACGTATGAAAGACATGGGTTTCTGCTGTCGCATTCCTTGTGTCAAGCCACTCTTGAACCACAGACAGCGTCAGAAGCGTCTAAAGAGAAACAGGACTGGACTGCTGGTGAGTGGTCCAAAGTCATGTTCTCTGATGAAAGTAAATTTTGCATTTCCTTTGGAAATCAAGGTCCCAGAGTCTGGAGGAAAAGAAGAGAGGCACTTCATCCACGTTGCTTGAAGTCCAGTGTAAAGTTTCCACAGTCAGTGATGGTTTGGGGTGCCATGTCATCTGCTGGTGTTGGTCCATTGTGTTTTCTGAGGTCCAGGGTCAACGCAGCCACATACCAGGAAGTTTTAGAGCACTTCATGCTTCCTGCAGCTGACCAACTTTTTGGAGATGCAGATTTCATTTTCCAACAGGACTTGGCACCTGCACACAGTGCCAAAGCTACCAGTACGTGGTTGAAGGACCATGGTATCCCTGTTCTTAATTGGCCAGCAAACTCTCCTGACCTTAACCCCATAGAAAATCTATGGGGTATTGTGAAGAAGAAGATGCAATACACCAGACCCAACAATTCAGAAGAGCTAAAAGCCACTATTAGAGCAACCTGGGCTATCATAACACCTGAGCAGTGCCACAGACTGATCGACTCCATGCCACGCCGCATTGCTGCAGTAATACAGGCCAAAGGAGGCCAAAGGAGGCCAAAGGAGGCCCAACTAAATACTGAGTGCTGTACATGCTCATACTTTCATACTTTCATGTTCATACTTTTCAGTTGGCCAACATTTCTATAAATCCTTTGTTTTTATTGGTCTTCAGTAATATTCTAATTTTCTGATATGATGAATTTGAGATTTTCATTTGTTGTCATTTGTAATCATCAAAATTAAACAAAATAAACATCTGAAATATATGAGTTTGTATGTAATGTATGAATATAATATACAAGTTTCACTTTTTAAATGGAATTACTGAAATCAATCTACTTTTTCATGATATTCTAATTTTATGACCAGCACCTGTATTCTACATACATGACGTTAGAACTGCAACTAATGATTATTTTGCAAATCGATTAATTTGTCGGTTATTTTTCGATTTATCGAATAATTATCAGATAACCAAAGGTTTTTAAAAAAAAACATATTTTTCGAAATTAAACCAGGTGAACTGATACATTTCCACTTGAAGCATTCTGGATAGAGGATACTGACAGAGAAAACTAATTTCATTTTATCTTACATGCAAAATGTTTATATTTTTTTTCACAATCTTAATATAATACTGCTCTAAATTGGTCTCTCTGTCAGCTTAAGGCATGTTTTAGAGTTTCTATAGTCAAGTTAACAATCAATCGATTAGTAAATTAGTTGATAATTTTTTCAATAACCAGTTAATCATGATTAATCCGATTAATTGTTTAAGTCATACATGAAGCAAATCTAACCACACACTCCTTTAATATGTGGCATTTAAAAAGTCATCTTGCTAACCTTGAGCAGCTGCTGACCAAACAAATGCACTTCTAACTGTAACCACCTGTACAAAAGCTAAAAATGTGGAATATAGCTGCTATGTTATAGAAAACACCATCGGTAATGGCCCAAGAAAAGCAACTGTTGCTATACATTAATTTCTGAAGAGCCAAGAGGAAATATCTGAACTATTCTACCCATAGCTGAACATGAACGCAAATTCACTATGAGGTCAGGCCGTGCTAAGAGAAATTTTAGGACAAATACTCCAAGAACAGCAGGGGCTATAATTCAGATGTTGTAATGAATCAGTTAAGTTCAGTCCTTAGGTTGAATTTAGGAAAATCCAGGTAGCTCTCCAGATAAATATGTCACCAAAAGCACTCCATTATAGCAAAAAAAAATAAATCAAGAAGAAAAAGCCAAGAATCCTCAACAAAAAAGTAACCCCATAAAATGCTTACTCCAAGTCACTGAATTAATAGATGTAGTTTGTTTTTCCACACATATTTTATGCAATTTTAGTTTACTTGTTAGTAATGACTGTGTGGTATGTTTTGTACATTTCTTTTTAACACATAGACAGTTTCCTTTTTTATCAGGTGTAATATAATTTCTTTGTCTTACCTGGGATTTTTTTTCCAGAAAGGTGGAAAAAATTTTCCACCACTTTTAATATACAATCCACAATAAAACAAAATGCTGAAAATATTTTTACATTTTGCAGACAATCAGCATTCAGTCATCTTTCAACACATTGTACAAAGATGCAATCATTCTTATTAGAAGCTATTCCTATGCATCAAAAAAATCGACATAAATATCCCTAGGTTGATAGATTGAAAGTTTTTATATAGTTTGTTGACACAGTGGTACCCTGTACCACCTTCCTGTTTTCAATAAAGAGCATTCAGGATTTAGAACAGTAGTATTCAACATAGTGTTGTCTGTTTGCCTAATATTTTGCCTAACTTTATTTCAGCCACATAAAAAAGGCATTTAAAGTAAACATTGATTATTGAAAGATGTATAACAACTTTTTCGTGTTGCTTTTAATTAGTAAGTTTCAATGTTATCGAGTGAGCAATAAATTAATCACTTAATAAAGACCTTTAAACGCTTCCACTGCCTTATATGTGAAGTACATATTGTTTATTTGTCACATATTAAAGTACTTTTTAGAAATAAATTACATAAAAAAATTCAACCTCATAAAAAAAAAAACATGAATTCTTATCTTTATTGTTATATAGCACCATTTGAATTTGATAAATTGTGCTGTTAAGACAAAATAAAATAATACTTTAAAGTTGTGGATTTTCACTTAAAGTGGCAGACTGTGAAACTGAAATCCCTTATTATTAATTTAAACCATTTAAATTTTGTTTGCCGTGTTCTTTATACCTGTAGACCAATCTGTTTAATTTAGAGCCATTTACGGCAGACCTAAATGGATATGCAGCTTCAGCACCATGGACAGCAACAGCCAAACTAACAAGCCGCCTCTCTATTGGCCGCCGCCAAATAACAACAAAGCCACGTGACCTGAGCAGCATGAGTTAGCCTTGTAGCACCAACCTGAGTCTCCCCCGGGTACAGTCCACTGCACACAGGGCACATACACAGCCATTACGAAGGCAACGGTAGTCCCGGTCAGTATCCAGCACCCCCTCCGTTGCGCAAACATTTTCTACGTACAGTAAAGTCCTGGAAGATGCCAGAGCTTTGTTGGTAAGCTAGCAGGCTACTGTTAGCATGCCTCTAGATTTAAGACTGAACTCTCAGCTATTTTTCGTTTCTCACATCCCTGCCAGACACGGATAAGACGAACCTCCTTCACACTGAATGTAAACTTGTGGTTGTTTCTGTAAACGCATGGAAATTGGCGAAGAAGAGGCGTTTGTCTGCCTCTGGATCATAAACGCCCCATCAGCCAGGCCGACGACGAGCAAATCTCGCGATATTACAGGACGGGACTTAGAAACTATAAAAGGACAATGCTATTTTATTCCACCTTTAGCTGTTTCCACCAATCAGCGTTCTCCTGCTCAGCATTTAAAAAAAAATCCAAAGCAAAACATCTCAGCTTGTTCAATGCAGTGGATAGTCAGCTGAAAAACTCATAATCTGCAGCATCAAAATTGTGTTTTTAATTTTCTGTGTTTTAACAAATCATCTGATATTTCCAAATGTACAGTTGAACACACTGTTAAAAATTTTAACATGGTCTGAACCAAGAAATGCCATTTTTTTCTGAAAAAAGGGCCTTTTTTTCTGAAAAGAAGGGAATTTCTTGATAGAAATGTCTTTCTATCAATGTGCTATCCGGGTTTATCAGAGGGACATTGATAACGCTCTCGTTGCAAGTTTGGACTAATCATTTTCATGTCATAATTGGGCCAGGAAATTGATTCATTCACACAAGCTTGCTGATTTTTTGTAAAGAAATTATCAACTGGCAGACAGAATCAAAGTCAACCCAAAAATATGTAAGCAAAGCCACAGCTTACGGCCCTCAAGCCATCAGGGATTTATCATACAAGGTTGAATCGTATAGAATATCCATATAGTCCCATTAGAATGACACCATTTTGAAAATATAATTTACAACACTAAATATCCTTTGTAATGATATAAGTATTTTTTTATTAAACTTTTCATTTGTCAGAAAATATTTAACCTACAAAAGCTCACCTTTGAAAGTTTGCTTGCAAATGTGTTGACCTAAAGCCAAAGGAGCAGTTTTTAACCCAAACCCAGTCATGCTTATTTAATCACATGTAACATGTTGGGCAGAGTTAACTAGATGGTGATTTAAAGAAATTAGTAGGTTTACTATTTAATTGCAAAAAAAAATAGAAATATGTATTTTGATTCATATTAGAGTGACAATCTAATGTCACAGGTTTAATCTTTTCTTTGTGTTTATAGAAAACTACATAATCACCAGTTCACTAGACTTCCTCCCAGTCCCACAGATTTTAACAATATTTTCTGAAGCTGTTCTTATCAGCCAGAGTGGCGTCCAATCATATCCTGCTTAAAGGGGAACGCCGTTTTTTTTACATTGGGCCCTTGATTTTACGTTATTACATCATGTTCTACTCACCCATATGAGTTTTGTGTCATTTGGAGCTGTTCTAAAGATATACCGTTAGGTTATATCCAAGTAACGTCTTCCTATGGGCAACGACTTGAAGGCACAAACTAAACTGTTCATAATTTGTTCTTTATGGTACGCCAGCATTCATAACATGTAGGCGAATCACTTTCCCCCAGACATCCGCGGTTATATTTTTTATATTTACATTTTTAAAAAATCAAAGCGGAGTGTGTTTGACGTCATTCGCACGCGCCGGCTACCATTCATTCATCCTGTCCGCTTAACTGCTGCTAGATTTACTCACATGCCTGGAAGGTGTCTAGTGCTGCTACCACAGATGATCTCGCTCTCGAAATGGAATTGAACGAATCAGATTAGCTCGCCGAATGAATATAAGGGGTAGAGCGTAGCCGCCTGTGGCCCGGGCTGCCTGTCACAACTCCAGTCCGGCACGCAAATGACATCATACTGTACATACTCCGCTTTGTTTAAAAAAAAAATGTAAATATACAAAATATAGCCACGGATGTCTGGAGGACATTGATTCGCCTACATGTTATGAATGCTGGCATATCATAAATAATAAATTATGAAGAGTTTAGTTTGTGCCTTCCACTCATTGCCCATAGGAAGACGTTACTTGGATATAGACTAACGGAATATCTTCAGAACAGCTCCAAATGACACAAAACTCATATGGGTGAGTAGAACATGATGTAATAACGTAAAATCAAGGGCCCAATGTAAAAAAAAACTGCTTTTAAGGCCCTATGCACCCTTGGACTAAAATTGTCCAAGTGCAAATCTTGCAGGATGGACTCCTCGATCTCATACCTCCGTTACAGCCAGCATTCAGTATCACCAAGATATTTTTGGTTCCTTTAAATCATCAACAGCCTTTCTGGACCTAAAATATATTATAGTTCCCCTCCATACATGCATTGCAGCTTTTGTTAAAATCTCTTCTAGAAATCTTACATATTAAAGCTACATTTTACTGCTGTTACACAATAAGCTAACAACACACTTGAAAGGCTGCATTCAACCTCATAAATGTCTCAGAAGAGCCCATATTTCTCAGGTCAAAGGGTGACTGTACGTACGAAATTGGACTATTGAACTGATAATAATCCCAGCTCACCATAAATGAGTCTGATCCCCCAGTATGTTGAGCCCTCGATGAGGTGGAGTGGTGTCAGCACCTAACTAACTCTTAGATGGCTCTCTAATCCTCCTCTTCCTCTCGCCATCTAATCAGCCTCCAACACACACACTCGCTTACTCAAACCCATCTGACACGCAGAAACCAAAGCACTCACCCTCTCTCAAACGGTAGGGGGACTGGGGGGTGCTCAGTGTGATGTCACTTCTAATCCAAGCTTGGTTATCCGCTGGGCTGCAGCACTGATGGAGTAACGTCCAGCGGACATGAGGGGTAATAAAGCACGTCATAAAGACTTCTATTTTTATTTCCTACATCATATGCATTAAAACTCAATAGAGCTATTATAGACTCATACCTGGAGTTTGGATAGGAGAGATAAAACACGTTCTCTGAGGCCTGTAGTTCAAATTCAAGGCACAGAGGACTCATTAGAGCCTGCTGGATTAAGTATCCCCCCCCTGCATCCGCAAAATGCAAGGCCTATTTTATTGACAGCTTGTCCAAAGAGAGGAATTACCCAAACCACTGAAATTCCCATTTCAGATGGCATTGCTCTATTAACATTAATAGTGCAGTATTAAATTCATTATCTTTTCCGATCGTGTGCGATAACCTATGTGTGTATTTGCATGGCTTTGTGTGTGTGTGTGATTAGAGAGTTGTAATGTTCCAGCTCTGGGGATTTTTTTATACATAAGATAAGAAAGGGCATTAATGGTAAATCGCGATGGTCCAATGGAGCAAAACTATTGGGGGGAGGGGGGGGGGGATTCCTCCTTTGTTGAGAGCTTTCTATACTAACAACCAACATGTCATTTTGTTCTGTATTTTTTTACTGCTAATGTTTTATAACAAAAAAGGGGGAGGCACCAGCTTGTGGCTTTTACAGAGTGAAATTCCATCTATTTGGTTCTGTATTTTCCCCCTACTTAGCCCATATCTGTTTTAATCTTACCTTAAGCATCCTTGAAATGAGGTGTAATCCAGTTAAGCCCTTTTGAATCTGCTTCAGAGCCATTTTACACCCATTCATCACCCCACAAACATCCTTTGCTAAACACATGCACTGGGTCCACGAGCCAAAATGTTCCTATTGGAGACACCAAAAGATTAAAACGCTGCATTTTTTTCGTAAGTGCAAAGTGCAAAAACAAACATATCAAACACTAAATAATGAAGCTGAGATTTGAGATCATGTTTTTTTTTTTCTTTGAAGGTCACCACCTATAGTACAGAATGATAAACGTGAAGCAGATCTTTAGCAGAACATTTTGGTGGACACAAAAACTAATATAAATACCAAAACGTTTCCAATCACTAGATTTCAACCATGGGAGCTTTCTGATGAACAAAATGATAATAATTTGTATTATAAAGTAGCTTTAAGGCACATTGAACTAAAACATGTCCAAGTTGTATTATTTTTCCTGCTTTACGTGGTTATGATTAGGATATGATTACTTTTCCAACGTGGTGTATTCTGTCAAATATTTAATACGGTTTTGAAAGCTTAAGCTGTCAGAGCAGATGTAAACATTTTGTGTCCATGCTTGCTGTTTCCTTTTGCAAGGTTCTGCATTTGTTTATGATGGACAAAAAGCCTGTATGTTTTTGAAATTGTTAATAAAAAAAAAAAAACCCGTTATCGTTCTATTATTGCAGATGAAAAGGTCCACATAGTGAGGCCTTGAACCAGCGAATAGGACTTCAGACAGATTAATTCTCCTCTGTGATCCTGTTCTCATTACAGGAAGCAGGGGACTCAAACACACATAATAACAGGGCTAACTGCTGTTTCTTTGTAACATGTGGCTACCTAAATGATCCTAAATAAGATAGATGACAAGGATACGGCAATTCATAATCTGTGTTTTGCACAATGGAGTATAATAGTCTGTGGAGAACAAGGGACAACACACAGGGCTCATGTTTCCATGGCCCAGGGCAGCACACCTCGTCGAGAGCAATTAAAATGAGAGGATTCAATTTTGTCAAACACCAGGAACCTCAGATAAATCATGTATCTCATTTTCCAGTGCGGGATACTCCCTTACATCGGTGCTATCATGTTTGTTATGGTGTTTTTAAGACACAGCTGGCTACAGAGTTGGAGAAACGGCCCCCTTTCGCAATTTCCTGCTAATCCCAATCGTTTCAGGGAGAACCGGTGCTGGGAGAACAACGGCCTCAAACAGAAAATCATGCCCCAGCAAAAAGGAAGAAGAGAGGGGGGAGCATGCCAGCACGTTTCTGCGTCGTTTCCATGTGGGAGAAATCCACTTACATTAACTGATAAAGATTTAATTAACACAAGACTCTGCAATTACTCCATAATTAAAGTCATTTGGCCCCTTGTTTGGATGAGTAGGCAAGACGCCGCATGTGAGCCTCTGTAAGAGCAGAAGACCAAAAGCAGGACATGAGGTGCTCAAAGAGAAGCTTTAATGTTTGAATTTAATGCTTGATTTTCCAAACCTCTGCAGCCAGCATATGTTCAGATAATGTATTCGTCTCTGATTATTTGTCTTTTATTCAAAAACTCATTTGTTATTCATTGATATGTAATAAGCTGAATGGCGTGAGTACAAAGCATCATCAAGAACCACATGAAATAGCAAATAGGCTTGATTTAATCATAATCCTCTTCAAACTGAACTGCATACAACTTCTGATTATCTTATTCTATTGCTACAACAAAACGTATGGATTCTGAAACAAAAGTTCTGAGTGACTGCATCCTGTTAAAAAATGAATCTGATTCTTTCACAAACAGCAAACTTGAAGTACTGAGAAATCAGTTGCAACCTGGGTTGGGGTTGCACATGCCCTGCAAAGGGTGGTGAGGGGAGGTAAAGGAGTTATAAAAGTGTTATCCCATGTCTGGAATACATTCTCAGTCAGAGCTGTACGCTGTTACAGACTCCTCACATCATCTCCATACATTTTTTTAATCAGCTGCCCTCAGGTAAACAGTACAGCAACAATGACAACAGAACCAACATAAACGGCTGGACAGCTTGGTGTTACTGATTGCACTTATGATTCTTTTACTTAATCTGTGCTTTTAGAAACTTGATTTCTGTAATGTATTCAAGGATTTGTTTGTTTTGTTTTTTGTACTTTTTTATAGTATATAATACACTGGAAATAAGATCGTTTCTGTTACTTGAAGGTGTAGACGTGCAAATCATAGAAATTATACATAGATGCTCCGTGGACAGGGTCTGCCTATGCTGTGGATGACACAGAGCGTCCGCCATGTTGAATATTGCAAATCTGCTGAAAGACTCAGACACTTACAGAGTATCAGAAGGACTTTAATCTCAGAATATTTTTTATATTCATTATATATTTTTTTTCTAATATTACAAATTTTCTTCGTATCCCTTTGGCTTCATTCTCCTGACTTTATTTTTGTACAGAATAAAAATTTAAAAAGGAATCTAACCTGCCCTAATACTCCAAGACTAAAATAGTTCTACAAACTGTGACTATTCTGGAAATGTTCACCCTTGATTCTCATAATAGGACAGTTTTCTTAGAATGACACCACTTCTGTCTTTTTTTTTTTATTTACTTCTTTGTCCTAGGACTTTTTTTTCCACATATTTTATCTCTTTAACATTCCAACAAATAGTCTGTTGCTAATCTATGTCTATACAAGATCTTAAAAGGTTTACAGGTGACACAGTTTATGAAATAATAAAGACCAGAATGTTTATATATATATACTGTATATATATAGAAACATCTATAATCTTGAGAAATACTTATATATAATCAAACACCTATTTATTTATAAATCTATATAAATGCAAAAAATCTATATATGCACATCTATATCTAAAAATAACATGTACCGTATTCAAGCAAAAAACCTTGGAAAGAATGGTCTTGCACAGCCAGTCGAAAGACTTTGTGTCACATACAATATGGCAGTGACGTCGACATGCGAACCTGCATCCAACGAGGCATCTACGTATATATATATATAAATATATATATATATATATATATATATATATATATATATATATATATATATATATATATATATATATATATATATATATATATATATATATATATATATATATATATATATATATATATATATATATATATATATATATATATATATATATATATATATATATATATATCTGTGTGGTGTATATAGAACTATTCTAATATGGATTACCTTTATCTGAGCCTTACCTTTGCAACTATGATTGTTTCTTTGCAGCTTCTGTTCTGCCCTGCAGAGATGTGCTTCCACTCTAGTCTTTTTTTTTTCAAGCCTCTAACAGATTGTCTTCCACCCTTTATTTATCCGACCCAACTTCATATCAAATCCGAGCCTTTTCACAAATTCAAAGAAAAGGAATCCCAGCAGGATGATACTGCCCCCACCTTGTTTCGCTGCAGAGTTCTTAAGGGAGGTGTGTCATTAGATCCTCATCAGTGGGTTGCATGGGGGCCCTTAGCAGACGGATTTGCCTTAATCAAGTAAAGTTTTGCCAAACTTCTTCACACCTGATTTATTGAATGGTTTTATTTCCAGGCTTCTTTAGCACAATCAAGTGAAGTGCAATAGCTAAATCATTTTATTAACCCGCTGGGCTGGGATTGTTCTTTCTTATGCATGACACAACTTTTTGTCGTTTATCATTTTTCTAGTGGAAAATAACTAAAGTATATCTCTTTATGTAATTATAAGGCAGCTCTAGCTTATGTACATTTATGAAGAGCAGAATCAGTCCTGCATACAAACTTTCAGCACTATTCCACTATATTTGCATAACCCTGCCCTGCTTAAGGCAGAGGAGTCACTGAGTGATCCCAAAATTAGCATGCTGTCACCTTCGCTGTCTCTTCTGTCATTCAGCAAAACAGGCAAGTGTGCAGACATGTGAACCCATTTCCCATCTGCTGGAGAAATGTTAATCAAGACGCATGCCACAGCACAGCTTCAGTCCTCTGCCTGCGCCAAACTGACATGCAGTGTATTTAAATCGCTTTCATGTGTCCTTATTATAGGGGAGATGGAGTCAAATAGGAATGATTGGAAATGGCATTGTCAGCATCTAGTGTTTTTCTCTTTAAGGGATTTGAAAAAAATAAAGGGAAAACATGGCTTAACGCTGTATGTATGCATCTGGTATTTCATGGGAATATGATAGGAGATAAAAAGGGTATGAAAGCACTCTATAATTAAATTAAGTGTAAAAAGCATCTAGAATGTAAAAAAATCATCTGTAATAGCTTTAAATACACAGCTGACATGCATCTCCTTTAGTTGATTATTTGCAGGATTTCCTTTAGTCGTGTGCAGTTTCTCTTATTTCTAATGTATTTGTGATGGATTTATGCAAACACATAAAAAAACTTTGATCTCTTTTCTTTGGCTGTTGGATGCCTCAGGGCGCAGCGCCAGCAGCTCTATTGTTGAGGAAACAGTGCCCTCTTGTGGCCCCTGAGAGAAATGCGCACCAAGGAGAAAAGATTCTTACAAAATAGGAAAAAAAATTAAATAGAAAGACAACAAACTTCATGAAAATTGTCTAGCTTATCTGTGGTAAAATATCCTGATAGAGCTATCGACATGTAAAGCCAGGGCTTGCAACCAAGATAGTGGGTACAATGCTCACATAGATGCATGATGAAACACATGTGTAACTATGATTAAACATTACTGCTGTGTTGGCTGAGTGAACAAGGCACAGACATCTGGAGTTCAAAGGCAAAAACCAACAAATCTTCAAATGCAAACAGCCCTTTAAATCAGTGGATCAAACTCCCTGCAGCCCCTCACTATTAACCGCAAGTTTAAAACACAAACTGACAGTCAAAGAAAAAAAAAAGCTCCAAGTCACTGCTGTTTTTTATTTAAAAAATATCTTTATTTTCTGCAAAGGAGGCCTCAGGAGCTTCAGTGTGTTCCATGGCTTGTGTACAGAGTTCCTGCTGGGGGGAAGAAAAATACAAATTTCATAGAAGGAGCCCTTGGGAGAAACTGCAAGCCCCACCCATGTTTACCAAGGAGGAATGTTTGAGGCGGCTACGCTGCAGCTGTTACAGAATACGGTCTCTAGCAATGGGCACAGTGTTTGAGCTTAAAACTGTTAGAGGAATGCTACTATAGTTCCTGGCTTAGTGCATCACCCTGCATGGCAGATACATAATATAGACACAGAAAAGAGATTTCTTAGTGGTATGAAAGCTGAGTAATGCTGCGTAATTAGATGAGGAAACATCGCAAATAAAATGTAAAAATGACTAGACTCACATTTGTCACGTATAGCGTAAGAGACCCTACTCATGGTGGGATTTTTTTTTTAGTTTCAGTGATACCTGAGTGGATTGTATTCAATATAATTCAGTTCTTTTAATGCTCTTGCTTTTGATAAACAAGCAGATTTTCACACATTGGAAGAGTGTAAGCCAGTTCTCCCAGTCATCGCTTTCAGTTCTGCTATTTTTGTTCTGGACAGTTTAGCTGATCTGAGCACAATGTAGTTCACTAAATGTGACAGACTGTGATAAAATCAATGACCCCCAACAGACATGGTTCCTCCACATTTTCCATTTTAAAATTCTCCAGATTTTGAAACATCTCAAATGAATTAAGATCACCCACCATTCTGTCATAATTTATAGATCCTGACAGATTGCTGGGTTAACTTGTTCATATAAGGATCTTTTTTTTTTCTTTTGCACTGATAGAGGTTTAGTATCTTTATGTTGAGGCATTTAAATATAAAAACAACTAGACATAACCATTTTATAAACCCAAAAGTTTGTAACATTGTCTAAGCAAGTTTCTTATTACACTTTTTGACACAAGCTCTTAGATTTGTTTGCAGTGATACCTTATGTTTCCTGTCGTTATATTAAGATATAACCTTAAGCTTATTTTAAGTTATTTACTATTTATATTGAGTTAAAAAAGACCACAGGATGGTTTTGTTTATATACTGAATTGATAAGGAAATCTGCAGCTGTTCCTGTCCTTAACATTTCATGATGTCGCCATGAGAAAAACAGTTCTTTGTTTGGTCAACACCATTTAATGAGATCTTAACCTTGAAATCTTGAAACCAAATAGTAGGAGCTTGAGCTTTTTGTTAGAACCTATGTAAGTTCAAATTTCATTATCTAATTTTCTCAAGATTTAAATTTCTTGAGTATATTGTGATAAGCTGCATTACGTCTACATAAGAGTTAAAATAATGGCTTTAAGGCAGGATAATTGGGCTTTTGCTGCTCAGTTATCTTAGTTCCTCCAGATGAGTTCATCTTATTTAGCTAACAATTTCAATTTCTCAAGTTAAAATGATTATAAAATTACTTTTTCCTTCTAACTGTGCAATTGTCCAATGATATCTGGATGAGACCCAATTTCTCAATTTTTGTAACATCTCAGGATAACGAGAATATGGGACTTTATTTCTAAAGTGGTAGTATCAGGTTTTTTTTTAAACGACAAAGTAACATGACCTTGAGCTGACCACAGTCAACAGTTTATCGTCTTTATCTTAAATTAACAAGATTTTAGCTTCGTTTCTCACGATGACAAGAAATAAATCTAAAATTTCACTGATAACCATTTTATTAGACCGAACAAAGATAATATGTGCTTGCTATAACATCTATAGTGAGGATTAGAGATTATTTTGCTTTGATAATGGTTTGATTGTCACAGTAGGTCATAAGTTTTTCATTGGTGTAACTGTTTCATTTTTTATCCCAATTTAATGCATCAATTTATTTTATTATTAAAGATCAGAGAATTATACACTGAGATCACTGCTGTGTAAGATTTTGGTCACGATTTAATTTAAAACATCTCAAGATAACTCTTGAAGCTCATTTATATAGTCACTATTATACTTTAATTATCTCACCATTCCATTGTTTAATAGTTTGAAATAAAAAAATAGTTTTTACACTAAAGTATTAAAGTATTTTACACTTATGCCAGTTTGTGGTAAGAAATAAGTTTTAGCTCACAAAATAAGTAGATAGTTAACTTATAAACTCTGGAAGCTCCAAATAAAAAAAGTTTTGGGTTCTAATACCGTTTTTACACATCTTGTTTGTTTTTAAGTTTCAACATATCTCGCATTTTGTTTGAGAAAGTTCTTAAAAAGTCACATTATAATTTCCCGGTAAGTCGAGGACTTGCTTATATTTTTTTCTGTCTCTCCTGATGTGGAAAATTCTGAACGCTAATTAAATATTTCTACATTCCTTTAGCCTGTGTAGAAACTCTCCACCAGCGTTCAGAATAAGACCTGGTTAAACTTAACCTGTCAGTGGTAAGTAGTTGTGGATGTTGACAGAAAACATGTGGCTGTTCATCACTTTTTAACCTAACAATGCTGCTCAGAACGCGCCCAGGATTTAACCGCCAACGTCCTTGGATCAGACCCCACACAGGATAAAGCTAACAGCGGTGCAAACCTGATCGGCGGGTGTAGGTGTCAGCTGTGAAGCCGAAACGTCCCATTTGACTGTGAGCGAACCTGAAGCTAGCTGAGAAAGCAGGTCATATAATTAGAGCCCCAGCAGTGGGTTCATTCCCGCACCGTCATTCTGAAGCCCGGCGACCTTCTCCCGATTCCTGTCACGTCTCCGTTAGGGGTTTGGTATGTGAGATCATAAGAAGCGGTTGGGCTTAAATAATGCAGGGCCACATAAACACCCCCCCACACACACACATTGAATCACCCACGCTCTCATTCTCACACGTTATATATGAAGGAGAAAAATATATTAACATTTGGGTTACAAAACATTTCAAACAGCCACAGTGTACTAAAACACACCTGGGTTGTTATCTCTTTCTTTACCTTCCACAAAATATATATATCTATTATTTCAATTACTATTAAAAATATTCCCACTTTTTATCGGGATCTCAGGCACTGGATTTCATCTCCGTACAACAAAAATCTCCTCCACCTCTGTGAGAGTTTGTTTGGGGAATGGAAGACACTGAGACTGATGATTTTGATTTGGGGGGGGGCATTAAGCCTAAAGATTCTCCCAGCCAACAGCCCTGCTGTCTAGCTCTGTAAAAGCTTCATCATCGGCACATCAAAAACTAAACAGCTGTTTCTCTTTCCCAAAAGGCCCAATCTGGTATAATCAATAAGGGAGCAATGAGTCATTCATTGGTGAGCCTCACTTTAACAGCGATCTGATGGTAATGTGGTGTAAACAGCCTGCTGGGAGAGACTTGGTTGTCTGCACAGTGATCTCTGGTATTTCATCCAAAAAGCTCCTGAACAATCTGTGATAGATCCACAGTAGACGGCCAAGCAGGCTTATTCCGATCCAGAAAGCGCGGGTTCATCTGATCAGTTTCTGCGAATGTTCATGCAGCAGAGATCCACAGCTCAGTCCACGGGACCTTGGAAGATGAGCTTTGACCAGCCCTGAGACGGGCTGAGCTGGGTGGCACAGAAGGGGCAGGCGGCGTGGAAGGCGTGGGTGCCGTGGGGCAGAGGGATCTCAGACCAGTACTTTACCGACTTCTCTGAACACACGTGTCCACAGGGAACAAAGGCGTGAGTGGGCGCCCCCGTGTCCACATAAAAGGCGGGCTCGCAGCCCAGCCAGAGTGGGACATAGGGTCCCACCACCCGGCACATGGGACATTCTCGCTGGGTGTTGGGCTCCCGCTCGGAGCGATGGCCCCAGTTGTGATAGCCGTGGACGTGGCCGCACGCCAGGTAGACCCACGGCTGCTTCTCCTCCAGAGAGGAGAGGGCCCGACTGCGCTGCATGCTTGGAAAGGCGAGCGTGTTGAGACCCACTGGGCACTGAGGCCGGGCTGCGTTGATCTCCTGCCTCAGAGCCTCCAGGTGCTTTTGGGTGGGAGTGTGAAAGAGCCCCTCTGCAGTGCGCCACAGCAAAGTGGCTCCACACAGATCCACCAGAGAGCCGTCCTGCAGGATGTTACTCTCATTCTCCACCTGCAAAAAGAGACATTTGTTTTTATTTAAACATTTTCCATTCATCTTTTTCACATGCAACCACAAACCTCAGTCTATTCAACTCGTAATTCATGTAACAGACCAACATCATTGTGAAATGAAAAAGAAAATTAGAAATTCACATTATTAAAAAAAAGGACCTGGATAGGTTTAGAAACATATTCTGTTAGGACTGAAAGGGGTTCCGGACATTAGTAAAGGCTTATTTTCCTACATTCTATTAAAACAAATACATTAAACATGCAATCTGAGCTACAAAATCCAACCTTTAGAGCAAACCGAGCTCAGGTTGTGGGGTATCTACCATTTAAAAAATAGATAAAAAAAGAAAACTTGATCTCACACGAGAAATTAACTCTCTGCATTTAAATCCCACTGCATCCCCTTAAGAAGCAGTGGGCTGCCATTGTGCGTCGCCGAGGGAGCAATGTGGGGTTATGGGTGTTGCCCAGGGACCCAGATTAGAGGCTGTGGCGATCCTACCAGGTACTTGCAACCTTCTCAGAGCACAGGCACACTGCCCTAACCACTAGACACTCCCCAACCCATTAGTTCTACTTTCTGTTGGTCTAACATATAAAATACCAATAAATGCATTGAGATTTTTGGATGTAGTGTGATTAAAATAGACCATCTTTATCGGCCTGAGCACATCTATACAGCTTTCCTTAATTTAAATCTACATACCAGTTTCCCTGGGGTCTGTGCTGAGCGGGTCTCTCTCAAAGTGTAAACATCTCCACAAACGGAGATTTCTCTCCAGACGCCAGGCTTGGACTCTTCCATGAAGCCCCCTTTAGGATGCATCACAAGCACCCCATTGGTTGTCAGCCCGTCCATGTGACCATCAGGGTTCTTCCATTTCGCTGCTTTTTCCTGTTGCAGAAATGCTATTTTATTATTTACACTGCATAGAAAAAAGATACTTTTGTCTCATGAACTGATCTACAAGTGGAAAAAACTAAAAGATAAAATAAATATTATAAAATAAAGTACTCATTAACAGGAACGAGTGATTACCCCCAGAAAGATGTTTTTGGAGGAGTCAAATCCTGCTGCATAGATGCGAGCCGTGTAGGGAGGGTTTCGTTCGCAGACAACCCTGCAGGCGAAGCGGGAGATGGTGCTCTGTGTGATCTGAGTGTCCTCTCCATCCTGGCCTCCTGCTACAGTGTCAGTAACCACAAAGTCGATGGGGTTTTCAGTGGAGCGTCCAATCTGCAGAGCAAGCCATTCAAATCTTTTGATTCAAGTCATTACGCTCCTCATAACAGAACTGTTAACCACTTCAAAATGTAGGTTTATAAAGGCTAAAATAACAGAAAAACACTGGACATGATGAAACGGAAAAATGTATTGTTTTTGAAAGCTCAGTGTCTGCTTGATGTTAAAAAGCGCTCGCCCAGAGGCACTTTTACTACTGTGTTGCATCATGTCTTTTTTCACTACATTTGAAAGGAAAGCAGGCCTATTTAAGCAGAAAGAAAAACTAAATGTTTTCACCATTCTCACTTTATTCAGGATTTTAACTGCAATCAAAAAATCCTCAGTTTGTCTTTATATTCCACTTTGTCACTAAAGACCAATACACAGGAGGTCACTCAGGAAGAGCTACAGAGAGTTACATTTCTACTAATGGTGATCTATACAAATCTGCTTATAAGAGAAGAGCGAGCAAAGTGATAGGATGTTACCACAATCCTTTTAGCAAAGGAGATCGCTGTCGGGACAGAAAACATGGTGTTTATATCAACGATCCATGCAGTGAGTCCCACCCAACCTCTCACAGATGCTCTTTTTATAACCAGTCTGTTACTGACCTGTTGCTAACTGACCTTTTCATGTTCCTGTTCGGGCTCTGTTTTTAAACATGCTGCTGTTGCCAGGTTGAAAATTAGCATCTGTTCATTAAAAAATACTCTAAACCATCTAACTTTCTGCTATTTTCATGATGTGTTTTTTTAAATGCTGGAAAATCTTCAAATGCTGCCTTAAACACACATTTCACAACAAGATAATTATATTTTTAGTAATGGGTGGGGGTGGGATACGTCTTTAAACTTAGCTTTTAGCATTGCATCAGACTGGTGCTGAGGAAGAAATAAGCAGTTCCCCATTTATTTCACCATCAGTGTTTTTTTTCTCTGTAAATGTCCTAAAATCCTTTTTTTTGTGCAGTTCTTCCTCTTTCTTCGGTTTACAATTATGATTTAAAATATAGACATTATTATTTACAACTTTAATGTGGCTTTCAAATGAATTCAATCCCATTTGCTGCATCACAACGCACATTAAGCAACATGTTTTAAATAATATTGAACTGTATTACGGCAATTTGTTAAAAGAAAAAAAAGTTCTCAAAATGTTAGAATGAAACCTGAGGACCAGCCGAAGTGTACATCTAAGATTTAATTCCAGCCTCCTTTACTAACAGCTGCGTAATTAAACAGGGCGTTTACCTGAAACATGTCTGTGTCTTTGTCATGGCTGTACTCCACCACCACCGTCTGGTGCCTGGACAGTGTGTAGGAGATGCTGTGTTGGCCTTTACAGTTCACAGCCTGAAATGAGACCACACATCACTGCCGTGCAAGAGTCACCTCACATGTAAAGGTTCAACACTTTCCTAGAATCAGCTTTAGCAGAATTTTGTTTGTTTTCTAATGTAAAACACAACATTTGGTGTTAATTTATGTTAGCAGGAAGGAAAATCTAAGGTAGGAAGGAAGGCAAGGACAGACATAGGAGGAAAGAGGAGGGAAGGACATACAAAGAAGGAACCCTAATGCCTAAGAGGCAGGGAGGTAGAAAGGAAGGACATCAAATGTAAAGATAGAAGGAAAGGCTAGGAAGGAAATAAGGAAGGAAGGAAATAAAGAAAAAGGACTAAAGGAGACAAAGAAGGAAGGAACTAAGAGAGGATATAACAGGATATGACATTTAGGCAGCAGGGCTGGATATGAAGTCTGGAAATACAATATGTTTTTATTCAACTCTTAGCTTTTAAACAAAACTAAAATCAAATTCCAAATACTTTAAACTGCACAGGAAACCTCTATAAATACCCCGAATTTTAACATCCCTTAAACCTTTTCTTTTATGTTAAAAACTCACATTTAAATGCAATTAACCAGGATTTCAGATATATATATTTTTTTTAAACTCACAGAGTTAGCTGCGCAATACGCCGCCTTAATACAATCTCAGATTTTTTTTCAATACAAAATCTTTTTTTAATTTACGTAGTTTAATAAAAAGTACAAATTATAGAATTTATTTTCAGTTTGGCAGGCCCTGCCATTGATCCTTTAGCTGTACAGCTAGTGGTATTATTCAATTAACAGTTTTAATTATACTTCGGAGAAAAGAAACTGAACGCTGATGTGACTCTGAACCTTAAAAGCCCAAGGAGTGCATGAGTAAAATATATTCTTAGTTTTCAAAAAAAAAAAAAAATAATTCCATAGATAGTACATTTAAATCAACAACATAATGGATTTATCGCCCAGTCCTTCTTCCCAGTCTGGTTTCCTGGTTTGCATGACGCTATTTGTTCATAAATGCTCCTATAATAATCTCCAAAGCCTTCTTACAACAACTGGATTTATACTGAGATTAAATTACACACAGCCGGACTCTATTTATTGATTTCCTAACTTCTATCATGCAAAGCATTTTTTTATTTTCAATGTAAAACCTATGCAACCCTCTGGTTTGTGGTTTTCAATGTGACAAAATGGGAAATGTTTCATGGGGTATGAATACTTTTGCCAGGCTCTGTGACAAAAACGTGATTTATTGTGTCAAAGTTGTTCTTGTTTGAGGCCTTGACACCATCAGCACTCATGTACGGGAACCATGCAGGAAAAAAACAAGTATTACTTAATCACTCCATTGATAGATGCTAGGTTTACAATGAGGAAATAGAAAAAACTCCAGACACACAGCATTCATCGAACAGATCACGTCCTAAGTTGGAGTTGTGAACAATTTCATCCTGTTTTTTATTTCTACAGATAAAACTGCAGCAGTATTTAGCTTTTTTTATTGCATTACCTAGAACTGCACAGTGTGGTAGAATATTCCTGGAACAGGAACAGAGAAAAGCCTGTAAAGTCATACTCCCATGACGGTGACCATAAACTGCCCACTGGCCTTCAGTGAGCCAACCAGTCAGCAAGCTGAGGGGAGGGGAGGTTCTCGTCAACACTTAGACACATGCCACCATCGTCCCGCTCTTATCAGGAAATTCCATTTCCAAAACAGCCCCCCCTATTTTGTCACGTGCCAAAAGCAAAGAGAAAGTGGGTCACCAGAGCTGCCACGCTCTGCTGTAACTTCAGAAACAGACGGGAGGGCAAATGTCATCACCCCCACAAACAAATGCTGCCCCACCTGTTCAGCACACACGCAAAACAGAAAGACATAAAAATAACCGTGTTCCCCGACCAGAGTCAAAATAAACTGAAGGCTGGCATCATGGGAGGTTCTCATTATCTGTCATGAACACCACAGCGTACACAGACATGTGAGCGTTCCCTTTCAGCCACCAGGCGCTCTCAGTTTGTTCGTAGGCTGCACCGTTAGGGAGAGCGAGTGGGCCGGCAGGCTGCTCCAAAAAAAGGAGAAAACCATGGCTTCTTTCATCTGACTCCTTCAGCCTTTGATTAATTTAAACACTGCATTGGCTCGGCACCTTGTTTGTCTCTCACAGATGGTTATTTCTGACTGGATGTGCAGCTGGGAGTGGAGGGGGGCTGGCCGTCTGCAACAACATCCTCCGTTTCGCCCAGACTAATAATCCCAGGCTTGGTAACAAGGTGGCAAAGAGGAACAGAGGTAAAAGAGGAAGAACCCTGCAGCGGTTTGCGTACTGAAAACTCCTGCAACCGCTTATTTTAAAGCCACAAACAAAGCAGCACTGATTTATGAAAAATAAGGCTTTCACCCAGTGCCAAAAGTGCAGTACAGTTACACTATTTCAACTTTTTTTCACACTTTCTAGTGCATTTTACTGAGACTTTAAGAGCACCACCAGTACAAAGTAGTACATCATGTGGACAAGGGAGGAAAATTAAGCATGTTTGATGTGTTTTTTTTATAGATTTACAGTGTAAACAACCACTTTTAAAAGTCACCTAACTGGGAAATAGAGATCGTCTGTTTGTAATTTATTCTCAGCAAAAATCCAGCTGTTCTTTAAAGTCCTCATCAGTGAACAAACACAATCAAAATCAGTTTCCAAATATTGGAAGTATCAAATTACTGGTCAGTTTGAAAACAGAAAGAGGACGGCCACCGCAGCTCTTCACCTAAATGAACAGCTGTGGAAAGCATTGTTCATAAATCACCAACAGGCCGCGGTGTCTCAAGAGGAGCTGCAGAAAATTCCCACTTTAGGTGAAGAATCAGCTGCTTTTTATTTTGAAATCGATACATTTAATGGCAGACAGACAAGATGAAAAGCATGATGCGGCGGTGGCAGCAATGTTTTTTATCAGAAAAAGGGAAGCTGGTCAAAGTTCAGGGGAAGATGTATGGAGCCGAATGCAGAGACGTCGTATTTATACAGAAAATTTATATTTACAATGTTAGTGGCTAATAATTGCACTTAATTTAATTTAGGGGAGTTAGAGTAAAGGAGCTGAACATAAATGCAATCTTCCTACTTTACTGCCACGCACTACTTTATGTTGATCTATCCTTTAAGATCCGAAATAGACTGAGTTTTGAGGCTGGCAGAGAACAGAAGGTGGAAAAGCTCATAAAAGACAAAGCCATTGTTAGCCAACATTCAGCTCATCCTGGAATGAAATAATGCTCAGTTTCTGTTGTGAAAAGTCCTTTTTCACAGAAAAAGACCCTCTTAGCAGATATCAGGAGTCATGTTACACCAGGTGACAGAAACCTGAACCTGAGAGCCTTTGGTCGGAGGGCTAAACCGAGAACAAACGTCTGAATAACAGCAGAGAAAAGCAGCTCCCTGTTTAACGGCTTGGCTCTGGAACTGAGAAGAGGAATGTGGGAAGGGAAACACGTTATACTGGCTCTCTGGTGTGAAGAGAAGCGATGAGGCCCACTAGGAACTATGGTTATTGAACTGGAAATGTCAACACAATAGTCAGTGCCAACAGCAACGTACATATGTGTTCCATGAGGGACAGATATCAGGAAACCTGCTGCTAAAGAACTTGCCTTCCCTTTAACTCCATCTTTAATTTACTACATTCCTCACATGAGGAGATAGTTTACAAATTCATAAGAAAATAAACACCCATTTATTCAGTTGCATAGAGAGAGTGTTCATTAAACTGGCAATTCATCCTTTGTAGTGTACCTTGCTATCCTGGGGTGTGTTGAGGATGTGCACACTGCTCGGCTTAACACCGTTGGCTTTGGTCCTCTTAAAAAGCGCAAATCTGCTTTTCCGTCTACCCCGATCTCCATTGGGCAGAGAGCCATTGTACCTGTCACAGAGGGAGGGGTGGGGGTTAGGGTTGGGTGGAGAAAAGGACAGCGTTCAGTTATTTTTTTTCTCTCTAGATAAAAAGGCAGGGGGGTTTTTTGTTGATCCAAAGAGATGTGTGTAATGAGATTTACAGGCAAAATTCTTGTAATCATATAAAAAAGTACACATGGAGATTTAGAGACATTTGCGTGCTTTGAAAAGGAGCTTTTCCGCGTGTTACATCACTGGCAATCTAATGCACCATATTAGTAATCTAAGCGTCACCTTGGATAATGTCTCTTATTACATAATGCACTCTGCTGCTGGTGATTTCACTGAGCTGGGACTCTAAGCTGCAGATACCAGCAGGAAAACACTGGAAAATACACAGACTGGGCGGCAAACGGAGCGCAATTTTATCTTATAACACAGAAAGCAAAAGAAATCGGATTTTGATAGCTTTGAGGGAAAAAAAACAACTAATATCTCAGCGCTTCCTGATACCTTCAAACTAGATTCTGTCCGGAGTGAGGAACCTCACCCAAACTCCTCCTCATGAATGGAGGAGCCCTTTCCGGTGGGACTGATCCACTTTCTGTCCACCAGCTGGTTCCTACAGCTGGGCCACCCCATGATTTACTCCCATCCAACACACAGACCTTCTGCTCACACCCTCAAATGTAACCACAGAGTGTTTAACAGCCACACTGTCCAGCAGACATATCTACACCCAACGCCTCAGCTTTGCATAGCAACTCCTCTGAGGGAAGAGGTTCAATGAGCCACAGGATAATCTGACTCTTCTACCTTTTTGTTGTAAAATAAAGGCAGCAGAATCTCCATAGCCTCCTCCCTCACCTCCCTCCTAAGCCAGTCCACCTGTCCTGTGTCTCCACACGGCTGGCCGGGAGGGGAAACACATGGTCGCAGTCAGGACTGTCCACAAAGCTGGCCTGTAAGACAAGCCACCCAGGGAGAGCCAGGAAGGCGGATTCTGTGGAAAACCTCTAATGCAGTTTTATTGCTTGTTTCTTTATTTTTACTTATCATCTGCAAAACGTCCTTCTTTCACCTCCGTAATATCTCTAAACTCCGTCCCTCCCTATCCCTCCCTGCTGCAGAGAAGCTCGTCCACGCCTTCGTCTCCTCCAGGCTGGATTACTGCAACGCTCTCCTCGTCGGGATCTCTGGCAGGAGCCTTCAGAAGCTCCAGTATGTACAGAACAGCGCTGCCAGGGTCCTGATGAGGGTGAGGAAACACCAGCACATCACTCCCATCCTTCACACTTTACACTGGCTGCCCATTCACGCCCGTATAGAGTACAAGATTCTTCTGCACACCCATCACTGTGTGCACGGTGCGGCCCCCATGTATCTCACTGAACTGCTCACACCACACACCTCTTCCCGGACCCGGTCAGGCCAACAGCACCGTCTGGCCCCACCCAGGACACGGCTAAAAACAATGGGCGACAGGGCCTTCGAAGCCGCAGCTCCCCGTCTGTGGAATGCCCTCCCAGACCACCTTAGGGCCCCACAGACGGTGGATTGTTTTAAGAAAGGACTAAAAACTTTCATTTTTAGAAATTCCTACAATTGTTGATTTTAGATTTTTTTTAATAGGCTACGTATGCCTTTTAATGTATTGATTTTAATGACTGTCTTTTTACTCTGTTTTTAATGTTATGGTCTTTTAAACTTGTTTTGTAGCACTTTGAGATTTGAAATCAAATGTAAAGTGCATGATAAATAAAATTCATTATTATTATTATTATTACTTACATTTGCCAAATATTTCCTGGAAAGAACGGTGTGTGGAATGTGATTCCTCACAGAAACACATTTTTTACATTACAATTCACCATTTTTCATACTAAAAAAGAAAAGAATTCAGGTGTGGAAGGCAAGAGCAATGAGATTCCATAAAGCACGGTGAATATTCTATTGGTAGGCTAAATGTGCATTCATGACATGAAAATGCTAACAAACATGGAATTCTGAATATTCCTTAAGTTTATTCCACACCCTATTGTAATTACTATATAATTCCAATATATTCTTCCTTTGTTTCGATATTAAGAGTGAAAGAAAAGTACAGAACTGCTGAATTCAATAGCAGGTTTTAGGAGTTATTGTACAGAATATTTTGATTTTAAACTTCCTGTTGTTGCAAAGTAAATCCAATATAATATAAACCCAGTATAACAAGTTGTATAAAGTCCTTTTTTAAATATATTTTTAAAGAGTTTTTTCCTGCTGTATAAAAAACAGAGTAATCCGCCGCTACCCAAACCTGCTGCTGTGAAAACTAGAGAGATATGCATCACTATTTGCAAGATAGCATGGCTTTAAAACTATAACTGTTTACGACCTTAGTCTCAGTTAAACAGCCCAAAAAATAAACCATCAAATGGCTGCCTGTTGTTTTAATGCACGACAGGGGTCTTTAACGTTTTCCTGGCCAAGGACCCCCAAACTGATGGCGAGATGGAGCGGGGACCCCCCTATTATATATATATTTATGAAATTGTGTTATATCAAACTGGTCCTATAGTCACTTTATCACATATGGAGTAATGTAACAAAAGTAATTTTTCCCTTGGATTATTAAAGTATTTCTGATTCGGATTCCGGGTTGATGGGATAGCTGTTGTGAATGAATTGGTGCCCAGCTTGAAACCAAAACTTTTGCGACCCCCATGCAGTACCTCCTTGGAACCCCTAGGGGTCACGGACCCCCTGTTGAAGACCTCCACTCTACGACATGCAGAGCAGAAAGATTGATAACATTCTTCAAAGTAAGAACTTAAAAACTAATAAATGAAGCTTTTATTCATTCTTTCTTTCTTCTTTACTTTTGTTTGTTTAAAATGTCAAAGATAGCATCATTATAACTTAAATAACCTGAAAAGGTTTAAATAAAAGGAAGTACCTCAAGCTATCTAACCCTAACCTTACCTCATACTAGGGGACATTCAGATTATTTACTGGGGTAGCCAGCCTGCATTAAAGCTTCATAGATTCACACAATAGTTTTGAAACAGTATTATACCCCCGCCTATATAAAGGTCAACAGGGCCTGCATTGTTCAGAGGTAAACTCAGTACTGGCTGACTACTCATGCATTCAGATGACGTAGAGCTCAGCTTTCTCAACAGGATGAATGGTAATGACGAACATCAGCTACAAGTCTGTAGTAAAATATCTGAAAAATTGTAATTGTTTCATCACCACAGTGCAGAACAATGTTGAATCGTCTAGGAGCTGCTGATGTCACATTAGATAGGACAGTTGTACAAACTGATTGTGATCATGTTCCCTTTTGACTTGTACCAGGCAGACAGTGGATTTACCTCCCAATATTTAGCAGCAGGGATTAGAAGGCCATGGCATATTGTATATCCTCTGGGAATAGGTTGGGGAGCCAAAAGCAACTCCCACCCCTTGTGCTAATGTCAAAGTGTACTGCTTATAGAACAGGAAGAAAAGACAACTCTGTCAAAATAGTGTTTTCCCCCAAAACGTATTACATGTCACATGCATTTTAGGTCATCAAACAAACATTACTATCAGAAAAAAACGATCTTAACGCAAAATGTAGCTTTCAGATAATCATTTAATTTCCTAATGGGAAAGGTTAATGTGAAAAGAGTTAAGAAAAGTATCCAAAATCTGTTATTATCGTTCATTAATTATCCTGTATTATAACCCCACTATAATATATATATATATATATATATATATATATATATATATATATATATATATATATATATATATATATATATATATATATATATATATATATATATATATATATATATATATATATATATACATATAATCTATATCCTAATTTGCCTGTATAATCTGTATACCGTTTTCTTATTTATTTATTTATTTTATGGCCTCTTACAATTACTATTTGCTTATATATACCATTTAAAGTCAACAGTTACATAATCTGACATGTAAAATAAATATTTATATCCTGTTTAGCTTCTGGATAGATGCAAACTACATTTTGTTGCTTTGTACTTGTAACAGCGTAATGACAATAAAGTTGAATTGTATTCTATTCTAAGTAGAGAATTAAACAAAAAAAAAAAAAACTTAAAAGAACCAACAGACTCTTGGGAAACCATTCTATGGACTGGTCAGATAAAGGGACTTTTTTTTTTTTTATCTGTGCTTTTAATAACAACTGGTGAGATGATCTGGTGTTGCTTTTCTGCTACCGGACCTCTGCGGTTTTCTGGAAATACAAACCTGCTTTCTAGCAGGAAATTCTGATGGAGAAAGTCTGGCGTTCAGTTAGGACCTTATACTGAAGTCAACTGGCGTTGTGATGTAGGGTCAGGCTGCCTCTAAGCATCTTGGAGCGGCCTTATCAAAGCCTGCACGTAAAACCAAATGATGATGACCTTAAAGATGACTTTCCACTCCTATTTTCTGAGATGAGTTTGTAAAACTCCTCCACTGTGACATACAGGTGCTGGTCATAAAATTAGAATATCATGAAAAAGTAGATTGATTTCAGTAATTCCATTTAAAAAGTGAAACTTGTATATTATATTCATACATTACATACAAACTCATATATTTCAGATGTTTATTTTGTTTAATTTTGATGATTACAAATGACAACAAATGAAAATCTCAAATTCATCATATCAGAAAATTAGAATATTGTGAAAAGGTTCAAAATTGATGGCCCCTGGTGCCACACTCTAATCAGCTAATTAACTCAAACCACCTGCAAAAGCCTTTAAATGGTCTTTCAGTCTAGTTCTATAGGCTACACAATCATGGGGAAGACTGCTGACTTGACAGTTGTCCAAAAGACGACCATCGACACCTTGCACAAGGAGGGCAAGACACAAAAGGTCATCGCTAAAGAGGCTGGCTGTTCACAGAGCTCAGTGTCCAAGCACATTAATAGAGAGGCGAAGGGAAGGAAAAGATGTGGTCGAAAAAAGTGTACAAGCAAGAGAGATAACCGCACCCTGGAGAGGATTG